ATTTATATATATAATATATATATATAATATATATATAATATATATATAATATATATATATATAATATATATATATATATATATATATATATATATATATATATATATATATATGGTTTTGATCAATTCATCTAATATAAAGTTCACTTTTTCTAAATTAAAATTAATCTGAAAATACATAGATGTATAATGGTTATTGTATATACATATATTGCTACACATACATGATCATTTATAATTGCATATTTTTTAAACACTCTCTCTTTTATCTCATTGTACCGACGAGTCGTTTGAATATAGGATCCAGAAATTTTGCTGTTTAGGGTCATAGAATTCGGAACAGTCTCCCAAGCCATTTAAGTGAACCGAATTTGAATTTGTGAACATGTAGAAAAATGCTTAAAACCCAGATCGCGGTATTGGGAAAAAAATTATTATATTATATATATTTCTTTTTACGTTATATACAGCCGATATTATGTATCTCATTGATGAATTTTCTTTAAAGGGTTTTGCTTATGCAGATGATGTTCAGATATTTGCAAGTGCGGCGACTGGGGAGTTTGATTTTTTGATTGAAAGAATGTTGGATTGTTTGGGTGCACTGGATGGGTTTGAATGGTATAAAATTGAATCGGGAAAAAACTCAGCTGATACCAGTTGGAACTTGGCAACAAACCTCTAGGATTAACGTTGATTTTGTGAAAATAAGTGACATGATTATTGATTTTGGAAAAATGGCTACAGTTTTGGGTTTTAAAATAAATAAAAATCTAAGTATGGGTGAACATATAAAGGTTTTGGTAAAATCTTGTTCATTTCAATTGCGGCAATTAAATCGAATTAAAAAGAGTTTGAGCAGATCAACCATGGTTACTCTGATTCATTCGTTCATACATTCTAGATTTGACTATTGTAATAGTTTGTTTTATGGTGTTTCGAAACATAACATTGCTAAGTTGCAGATGGTTCAGAATAGAGCTGCAAGAATTGTTGTTGGTGCTAGTCGTGTTGAACTTATTAGCCAACTTCTGTCGGAATTGCATTGGTTGCCGGTCAACAAAAGAATTGTTTTTAAAGTCTTTGTTTTGGTTTATAGATGCTTAAACGGATTGGCTCCGCAATATCTGTCCGAAATGTTAATTGACAGATCATCGATTTCTTTAACAACTGGCCTACGATCAGATCGGGGAAATTTGTTAGTGGTCCCGGTTACTAAATTAAAGATTGCATCACGTAGTTTTGCAGTTTATGGACCAAGGCATTGGAATGAACTTCCATATTTTTTGCGCCGGTCTGGTCTGACACTTCCCCAGTTCAAAAGTCAATTGAAGAAATTGAAGACATATATTTTTTCCTTGTAGAAAATTATCATAGTTGTAAAGCGCCTATGAGAATGTTTTTAATAAATGATCATATAATAATAATAATAATAATAATAATAATAATATAATTATATATATAAGGTATGGTTCAATCACGATTTGGCAGTTGATCAGCGTCTCGAATTAAAAAAAAAACGTTGATGAAGCAAAAGCAAATCGGGCCTCAAGTTCGGATATTTTTATTCAGGTTAAAGGGAACGGTAGGCATGTGGCGTATTGTCAAGTTTAGAAAGCCAGAGAAATAACGTCTAATAATGGCTTTGATGGTTGTGATGGTGTTGGGAGTTAATGCTTGTTCAATTATAGTGATCATGATGGTAACGGCGTCAGCAGGAATGTGGCGGTTTGTCAAATTGAAAAAGTAATGACATTTGATGGTTTAAACAGTGATAGTACTTTAAAAAGATCAAGAAAAAGCAACAGCTTTTTTAACAAACTAAATGTTTGTTTTGGATTACTGAACGCTAGATCCATTATTATGAAATATGACTGGATATTTGAACTATCAATAATAAATAATAATAATAATAATACATGAGGGACTTGATATAAGGGTTTTGACAGAAACCTGGCACAGGTTTCATGATGAAATTTTTGTTAGAATGGCTATGTCCCCGTTTATCGATTTTATTGAATTTCTGAAACCTCACAATCCGCATCACGGTGGAATCATACTCTACTTCAGAAATAATTATCACTGTAAAAGAATTGAATTGCCAATAACACCCACTTTTGAAGCGCTAGCTATAAAGTTCAGGAAAAACGGGACTGACGTTGCTTTGCTAACTGTTTAAAGACCAGAATCTGCTCCAATTTCTTCGCAATTTTTCAGTGAACTAGTTGATATTTTAGAAATCATTACTGTGATGACTTTAACATCCACGTAGAAAATAAGAATGATTCCCACACAGTTTCTCTGCAAGATTTTTTTGACATTTTCAATTTAATAAATAAAGTCAATGAGCCAACACATGAAAAAGGGGACACAATGGATTTGATCACGACATCTAAAGAATTTCCTGTTTCCAACATTAAAGTATCACCCCATGGTATTTATTCGGACCACAGCCTGATTCAATCGTTTTTGCCAATTGATTAGCCATGTAGAATCCGTCGTTAAAGACAAGTTCGATCCTGGAATAAAATTAATGAAAATCAATTCATCAATTTGGTTCTTGATTCCTTCATCAGTAAGCCATGTTAGGGTAGTGATGTTGATGCATTGTTGAATTTGTTTGAAAAGGAGCTCAAACGCATCGTTGATATTGTTGCGCCCTAGCCTTTTATTGAGATCAGACAAGATCCTATGGCTCCTTGGTTCGACAATGAATGTTGCCGTTCCAAATCTAATTGCAAAAAAATAGAAAAACGTTTTAGAAAAACTTTGTCGATTGAAAATAAAACAAAATGGATAGATGCCTTGAATGCTAAAAAACGTCTTTTCTCAAATAAGCAAAGTAGGTATTGATCACTGATAGATGGTGCAATGTTAAGCAGCTTTGAAGAGTTCTAAATTAAAAACTTTGCAAAGACAAGACATTTGCATTTTGTCCAGATATATCTAAACTATCGGCGTGATCGTTTTTAAATTTTTTAATGACAAAATTGTCAAAGTTATGAAAATCTACAGCATCCAGTGATCCATCATCAGTTGCTTGTGGTGATTTTAACAATAAAGTATTATCGGCCTTTGCTGACTATACCTATGGTGATATGAAAGGAATAATTTTGAATTTGCGGTCTAAAACCTGCAATTTCGACTGTTTGTCTGCTCAATTTTTCAAGAAGCATTTTAACTTATTTTCAAAGTTTGTCGCCAGTTTTATCAACCAATGTTTAAATACTGGAAAATTTCCTGTTTTGTACAAACATGCCCTGGTCATACCTCTTTAAAAGAAAAATGGGTTAGATACAAGCGATGAAAATAACTACAGACCAGTTTCACATCTTCCGTTTATGTCAAAGATTATATAACGAATGAGCTGGTTAGCCATGGTTAGCCATTTAGAACAAAATTGTTTGTTGCCTCTGCACCACTGAGAATTCATAACATCACTAAACAGAGACAACTTTGTTGGATATATTGTCTACACTATTTTCAGTGACAAATATGAAAAATGTTTCTATCTTGGCGCTTTTGGACATAAGTGCAGCGTTTGAATGCGTCGATCATGGTATTTTGCTAGACAGTTTGGAAAAGCATTTAGGTATATTGGAAACAGCAAAACTCTGGCTTTAGTCTTACTTGACGGATCGAACGCAACACGTGCTGTTTAATAACAATTTGTCATATACGCAATCGGTCGTTACTATTGTTTCACAGATATCGGTCTTAGGGCCCTTATTATTTGTTCTATACACGAAGATGTTTTTTGATTAATTGATTTATTTGGTTTCTATAGTCACTCTTATGCTGATGATATCCAGATCATTGTTAGTAGACCACCTAGTGAATTCCTAGTAATGTTGAACAAATTCATTAAATGTTTGACAAAATTAGATGTTTGGATGTCTAGCAACCGTTTAAAGTTGAATCAATGTAGAACGCAATTAATGTCAATTGGGACATGGCTCTCAAGAATTAAAATTGATTCAGCTATCATTTATGATTAGGAGATTAAATTTTTTTCCAGAGTTGTCAACTTGGGTTGCATCCTGAACCAACTGCTAACAATGCATCATCCCGTAAAATTCATTACAAACACATGCTTGCATGTTGGGAATAGTTATAAAATCACTTCAAAGAGATAAAGATTATTGCAATAGTTTGTTTATGGTCTACCTGACAAAATGATATCTATGTTTCAGCTCATTCAAAACAGTGCTGCCAAGCTTGTTGTGGGAGTTGCAAAGCATGACCACCTGACTCCAATATTTTGATAAAAGAGTTAAATTCAAAATTTCGCTTCTGATGTTTAAGGTCATGAATTGACTCGCTCAGAAGTATTTAGCTGATAGATGCACTTTTAAGGCGAAGTTTTCCAAATCTTACAATTTACGTCGTCACGATAAAAACTTGGTGAACCATCCAGTATCACGTTTAAAGATTGGCTCAAAAAAATTTTCTATTGCAGACCCAAAAGTATGAAATAGTCTACCGGGCTACTTGTGACAACCTGTCGAGAATTTCAAAAAACTGTTAAAGTCTTGTCTCTTCGAAAAATTATATTAATATTATTATTATTGAATGAAAATTTATAAATCGCTTTATAATAAAATCTCAAAAGCGCCTACAATAAGTGCAAGAAAAAATAAATAAGACAAAAGAAAGAAAGTTGATTGTCACTCAGTTAAATGTCAGAACACACATATATTTAACACAAAATCAATAAATAAATAGATGACCAAAAAGAAGTAATACTAATTCAAATGACGATTTTTAGGATTTATCCACACAAGTTACTATGTAGTTATGTACAAAAATTCAACGCAACAATCAACAAGCCTCACAACGAATTATTAATCGACACAAGAATTAAAACAACATAATAATGATAGTACCGTACCGACTAATAAAAAACATAAAAAATAAAAAAAAAAACAAAAAAAATTTCATTTTCATAATCAAATTTAATTACAAGAACCGAAATGCTGATTAAAAAGCAGCAACTTTAATTGTTTACAAAATAGAGGAAATAATATTCCAGGTAGACGAAGTGAGGTTGGCAAATTATTCCACACCATCGGTCCAGCAACAGCAAAATTTCTTTTACCAGTCACCAAACGGGTTTGAGGAACGTCCAGCAAATTCCTATTATTGGATCTCAATCCTGGATAACCAGACGTTGAATCACATTTAGTTAATCTACCGACCAAGTACGGAGGAGCACGCCCATTTAAAACTTTGAACATCAAAACAGCAATCTTGTAGATAATTCTCTTTTCAATCGGAAGCCAGTGCAGATCCCGTAAAATCGGCGTCACATGATCAGATCTAAAACCTCCAACAACTAGCTTGGTCATGCGATTTTGAATTGACTGTAGTTTGGAGATTTCCAACATGGAGACACCTTAAAAAAGGCTGTTGCAATAGTCCAGCCTCGAGTGAATAAACGCGTGAGCCAAACTTTTTAGGGTAATCTCATTAAGTGAATCTTTTATAGCCCTCATCATGCGAAGTTGTCGATGATATTCACCAGTTAGCGACTTTATGTGGCACTCCATTGTCATATTACCATCGAATACAACACCAAGATTACGAGCAACTTGACATAATTCAATCCTACTGTTGTTAATCTCAATCGAAGTGAAATTTAATTTGTTTATTTGCTGCCACGTACCAATTGGCAATAACTGGGTTTTGCATTGATTCAATTTGAGTTTGTGCTTGAATCAATCGCCTCCATGCACCGACCAAATCTTTCAACAAGAGCTTGAAATGAAGTAGCTGGACCACTGACAATGATTTGTATGTCATCTGCAAACCCATGATGCTTGAACCTGAATGAATCAATGATGTCGAAAACGTCAGCAGTGTATAGCAAAAACAGCAGCGGTCCAAGTGCTGAGCCTTGCGGTACACCGTGCTTTACTTCCTGAACAGATGATAAAACATCTCTGCGTAATACCTGTTGTTTTCGCGCAGAAAGATATGATTCGAACCAAATAAGAACAACACCTGAGATTCCAAAACATTGACGTAGCTTTCCAAGTAAAATCTCGTAATTAACACAAAGGCTGCACTAATATCAAGTAATGCCAAGATTGAGATATTTTGATCATCAATAGCAGCAAACAACTCAGATGAAACATCTATCAGTGCAGTCTCAGTTGAATGAAATTTTTTAAATCCTGACTGACATTTTGGTAGCAGATCATTATGATTTAAATGACAAATTAACTGTTTGTGGACAATTCGTACAATAACTTTTGACAAAAATGTTAGATTTGACACCGGTCTATAACTTGATAAACTATTCTTGTCTAGTGTCTGCTTTTTTAACATCGGAACAACAATTGAATATTTAAAAGCCATCGGGAAATTTCCATACGTTAAACATGCATTTACAAAAAACAGTCAAAAACGGGAGAAACAGATGAACGTATTTTTTAAGTATTTTAGTTAGCAAATCATCCAGTGGGCATGACTTTGTAGGTGACTCCAAAATAACTTGACGAATCTCATCACTGGAACAACACTGAAATAATGAAAGTTAAGCACATTCATTCGATTGTTTGAAACAATAGGCTCTTTAATACAAGGCATCGTCTCTAGTATGTTGTCAACCTTATCTTTAAAAAAATTGAGCAAAATCATCAAAATTTAACTCATCTGACATATTAAGCGAATCAACAGAATTCATCTTGCATAAAACCCTGTTAATTGTCATCCAGAGTTTCTTTGGATTGGAGCCATTTATTTCAATCATATTTCCCCAGTAGGCTTTTCTTTTTTCTGAGAGCAATGACTGTTTCTTCAACATAGCATCAACGAACTTATTCTTGCTAACATTCCCAGGATTAAGTCGATAAGCTCTTTCAAGTCTTCTGCAGCGTAGCTTAGTCTGCCTACACTCTTCATCAAACCAAGGCAAAGCAGCATTATTTCTAGTCATCACATAGTGTTTCGGTGCAACAATATCTATAATATTTTTAACTTCTTTTTTGTAAAGATCAAATAAGTATTCAGGATCATCTGATTTAAAAGGTCCATTAATAAGCGAGTTTATTATTAACTCGGCAAATTCACACGATTCCATGAACGAACCAGTCTTTTTTTTTCTAACAAAATAATTTAGTGGAATCAAAAAACATACTTGGACCAGACCATGATCGGAATAAATACCATATGGACCTACGGTACATGAGAACACAGGCAATTCCATCGAGGATACCACTAGATCCAAGATACCACCATGTACATGGGTAGTTTCCTTAACTCTATTCTCAAGGTTAAATGCATGAAAAACATCTACCAACCGGATTGAATGAGTATCTCCAACCTTTTCCAAATGAACATTCAAATCCCCCGTAAGAATGACATAGTCCGCCAATAACAAAATCTGCTCCAAGAGTGATGTAAGCTCATCAAAAAATGCAGGAGTAATTGGTACAGAACCCGGTCGATAAACTGCCAATAACAGAATCGTTTTTTTACCGCACCGAAATTTAATAGCAAGTGATTCAAAGGAATTTACCACTGGTAATTCTATTTTTTTAACCTTGAAAACATTCTTAAAATATACAATTATTCCTCCATGATTAGGGTCGTGTGGGCGCAAATAATCCATAAATGAGAAGCCATAAGGCATAGCCAATTTCACAGAAATATCATCAGATGATCCATGCCGTGTTTCGGTCAGTACACATATATCTAAATCATTTGATAACAAATCATGAATTATATCATATTTTGACCGAATGGATCTAATATTAAGCAATCCCAAATTTAATCCGGTTTGGTAGCAGGCCTTGGATATCTCACTATTCTCCATTGCCCGACCACACCTCTGACCCGATATAAAAAATGACCATCTTTAGATTCCCGAGTTTTTTCCTCAAGAACCAATTTTATAAGCTGCAGACGCTGGTCCGTTGTAAGGTCATCACTAATCTTCACTTCCCTCATTTTTTCATCCAGCAGCGCTAATCTGAACAATCTTCTCATAACCAGGACTTTTGCAGAAAGGTTGATAAAATTAACAATCACTGGACGCGGGGGAGACGGTACGCTTGGCTTTTTACCTTGTCTGAATATTTTCAATATGTCATCATCTTTCAGAGACTCGTCTGTTAGGGACCTTAAAAAGCCAAGAACATTGCCCCTATCTTTAGCAACATCCAAGTCTTCGCTGAAATTAAAGAGAACTATGTTGTTCTCACGGGCCTTAACTTCATTTGCCATTTCAATTGTTCTGCGAACAGAGATGACCTCTTTACTAACTACGTCGAGGTCCTTTTTTACCACATCGGAAAATGAAGTACTGATCATATTTCTCAAAGAAGCAGCCTCGTTATTGACAATTTTAGAATTACTCTTTACCACGTCTGACCAAGACTTGGTGATATCATTTTTCAAGGAATTAATAGACTGGTTAAGTTTCTCGTCTAGTTTTTCTAACTGTTTTAGGTTCTCACCGCTTGACTCAAGCCTCAACTGCAGATTTTTCATCCCAATATCAATGGAATCAAACATTTTAAAACGAGAATCAATGGATTCAAATTTTTCGTTAAGCATCTGCAAAAGACCTTTGAAACCATCAGCATGTTTCACGCAATTATCACAATAAAACTTCATGTTTTTACTTTTGCTAGCATATTTCACCAATTCATCATATAAGTCCGAGGGCTCGATTTGAACCACCGCATCACATACACAACATAATATGTTATCATCCTTTACAGAAGCAGGTTCCGGAATTGACTGACTTCTCTGAGATCTTGTTTTAGACATGTCTTAATCGAGCATACAAACTAAGTCTATGGAGAAAACGCAGTGGTAGATACAGGTCTTTAGTACGATGCAGCAGCTGCACTGTCGAAGCCGTTTCAGCGACAGCCAAGGTAGTTTTATATTCTGCGACAACAATGACCAAAATTTTCTTTCAAATCACTGTTGATATTCTAGACAAAATAACAGAACAACCGAAACAATGCAATACGTCTAAAAAACAAGGAGTGATAGCTTACAATTTAACAAAAACGTATTTACTTAAGATTTAAACTAAAAAATTAAATTAGTTACTCAAGTTCTAAATTATTCAAAGAAACAAAAATTTATTAATAATCCTCTCTAATTAACCTATCAATTAAACCTAATTTGAACAATATGCACTCTGAAAAAACGCCGAAAATTAAGAAAAATTACGAAAAATCAACAATCAACAATATATATATATATATATATATATAATTTGGTATGAGGTTCTCAGATAGGTAGTTATATATATATATATATATATATATATAAAGTCAATATATATATATATATATTTATATATATATATATATATATTGATAAAAATCACAGCATATTCGCGTTAGTTATATATATATATATATATATTTAACTATATATATATATATATATATATATATATATATATATATATATATATATATATATATTGATAAAAATCATACCATATTCGCGTTAGTTAGCTTCATGTTTAGTTTTTCGATTTTTCTAACTGTTGATTTCTTCTATGACACAGAAGGAATTATCTCTTTGCTGTAAAACAGTGTCATAAAGGTTTTATATATTTTGTTTGCTCACAATCAAACCATAAAATTATTTCATTTTAAAACAAATTGAAGTAAATCAAAAGTTCTCTAAAGTGTGGTATTTTAATGAAATTATTAAACTTTAAAGGACATGTATCAATATATTCGTCTGTTTTTCATCCTCCTAACTGAATTTTCACATCTTCTTCATTTCAAAACAGTTTCAATCGAATCTGATCGATATATGGAGGAAATGTAATGCAAATGTTTTCTACCGTTGTATATTTTATCGAGCGAATTCAACGTTTAAAAACAATTAACTGCACGTCTACGTTGTGTATCTTTTTTGCTTATTTTGCACACTGACTTAGAGCTGATTTTTAAGTATTTACTGTTGCTAATGTTATTTGCGTCGTTAAACTTGTACTGTTATGTTTTTATTATTTTTTACTTTTTGGTATTTGTTCTGTTTCTGTTTTTATATTTTTATTTATTATGCCTTTATTTTTTAGTTCTGTCATTTGTTATGTATTTGTTTTTATTCAAACGTTGTTTTTGTTATTTGCTATGTTTTTGTTGTTATAAATTATAATTTGTTTATTTATTAACTAGTTGAAATATCAAATATCAATAAAAAATGATAAATTAATAAATAAATAAAAAACAAAAAGATTAATAAATAAGCCTTACTTTTACTGCAAACCGGCCTAATGCTGATCTTACTTTCTTACGAATTGAGGATGATCCAACATTCGTTCCACGTGAATCAACATCTGAAGAGGTTATAACTGTAGTCAACCAATTGAAGTTAAGAAATAGTTTTGATGGTAATTTCTTGTCAACCAAGATTTTGAGAGGCACTGTTTGTCAGATAGCTGGTCACATCTCTTTTTTGTTTAATGAGTCTGTTAGAACGGGTATATTTCCGTCTGTTTTAAAAATAACCTAGGTTTTACCAATTTTCAAAAGTGGCGACCCGACTATGTTTGGTAACTACCGACCAATTTCAATATTACCGGTATTTTTTAAAATATTTTAAAAATTAATGTTCAATAGAATGTGGAGTTTTTAAGTGAACATAATGTGATTAATAAACACCAATACGGTTTTGTTCCGAAGACCTCTACTGAGAAAGCCATTGCAGAGTTGTACTTGTCTCTTTTGGAGAACTTTGATAAAGGTAATTTCAGCTTAGGTGTTTTTATCGACCTGAAAAAGGCTTTTGATGTGATTGACCATGAAATTTTGCTTCGAAAATTGTTTAAATATGGGTTTCGTGAAATTGTTCTTGATTGGATCAGATTTTACTTAACTGATCGTAGTCAGTATGTTTCTATTGACAATGTTGTGTCATCCCCTTTAAAGATTCTAACAGGTGTCCCTCACGGTTCCATATTGGGACCTTTGTTGTTTATAACATTTGTGAACGATATCTTTTCTGTATCAGATAGATGCACTGTGATGTTATTTGCTGACGATACCAGTATTTTTTTGTCAAGTAAGAGCCTGCTGGACTTATTCACAAAGATGAATAGCCAGCTTAGTGTGATTTATGATTGGTTTTTGTCCAATGGGCTGACAGTGAACATATCCAAGTCTTGTTATGTCATTTTTGGTCCCTTGATAAAAACGAACAAGGTTTTCCTGAGTGGCTTGGAGCTGATTATCCAGGACATATCTCTTCCACGGGTTCATTTGGTAAAATATTTGGAAATTGTTATACAAAGTAATCTGAAATGTAATAAGAACATCGACATGATGTACCGTGCGGTTGGGATTCTGTTTAGAGTGAGAGACAGGTTGAATGTCAAGTCAATGATCTTACTTTATTATCTTTTTTTTATCCACATTTGTTATATGGAAATGTGTTTTGGGGATCCGCCAGTAAATATTGGATCAATAAAGTTTTATTGATGCAAAAACGTTTTATGCGAATAATTTTTTCTTTGAACTTTCGCGATCATACTGATGACGTGTTTCGTAACCATCAAATTCTTAGAATAGAACAATTACATAATTTTATTCTGCTGGTATTTGTTTATAAAATACTTATTAATAAAGATTATGAGCAGTTAAATTTTTTTGATAGGGTTCAGACAAATACCAGGCAACGTTGTCAATTGTTGTTAAAAAAATTTAAAACTTCCACCTACCAACGTAGCTGAGTAATAAGGTAATAAGAGGTCCAAAATTATGGAATGATTTGGCCATGGATGGTCAAACACATCTGTCTTTGAAGAGATTTAAGCTATGAGCAAAAGACGCTGTGATGACATATGGGCGTGCTAATTGACTGTGTTTATATATGACCTTTATTTGTTGTGTGATACAGTACTTTTTTTATGCAATGTATTTGTTTATTAACGTGCTTGCTAAATGTATTTAACTAATTTTATGAATGTATTTTCTGTTTTTTTTCTTTTTACTAATGTCTATTATTGTAATTTTTTGTTTGATTTTAGTCATGGGTGGTCTTCGCAAGTACTTTTGTTACTTTTTTGATCTCCTTACTTTTTTTTTGTCAAATTAGTTTGGAAGAAGAAAAAAAAACGTTTGTTTCATGTTGGGTGATCGTCATTTGATTGTTGATATTCACAAACATACAGCGGCCAATACACGTTTAAGAAAATCATGCATTTGTTGCAATAACATAGATGAATTTATTTATCGATGTTATCAATTTGTGCGTATAGTAACTAACGGGCATCAATTCAGTTGTTGTAGAGCATGGTTCTTCAGTGCTGCAATAACTGGTGAAACTGTTTGTTTGAATTTATGACAAACTAGATGGTCTCCAGCACCTAATTTGTTTGCTTTTTTGTTGGTAAGGCATAACGAACTTAGATTTACAAATGCAGTATAAGTCAAAGCAACAAATAAAGGTATTTGTTTAAATGGCCTAAGCGAATCCACGGAACAATTTAAAATAAGTACAATAAAATCCATTGTGAACCGTACATTCACGCATTCATCCTTAACTGAGAATCGCAATACGAAACTGAAAAGAATTACTAATCTACTAGTAAGCAATAGTAACAAAACATCATCTATTGAGAGCACCATTCAACAAAGACTACAACAAGATAACAATATATTTATAAACAACTAAGACAACAACATAATCCTTCATTACAGAAATCATATGTCAACAGCACATAAAATAGACGAAGTCGTCCTCAAACAAACCATAAAGAGAATAAATGATGCTAAAACAAAAAAAACTAAGGGTATACCACAATAATCGTAGGTCATCACAATTGGTCCTAAAGAACAACTGCACTTCTAAAGACGTTTCTACTTTGAAGAGTATTTATGTAACATAGGAATTTGCTAATTTCACTAATCTAAAAAAGATGATTTATGGAAAATTGAAATAAGGACTTATCTGCATGATAAATTTGCATAACAACAGTTTCATCAAATTTGCATGATGAACTTTGGTAATAATTCTATTTTCAACAAAATTAACAATTTCCAAAATATTCTAGTAAAGAAAATTGAAAAGACAATCTTTAAATAATTGATTAAGTCCAACGATTTGGTAGAATTCATACAAAACTGAATATATATATATATATAGCATCATATTCTTCTTTGTCACTATTTACAATGCTAGTTTTTATTATTTCTTTGACTTCATTGTTGGTTAAGAGCTTGGTTGGGAGTGAGGTTGTCATTTTTTGTTGTATATTTATTTTTGGTTTATTGATGTCAATTAGGACTGTTTCTGCAATTTTAAAATGCGTGTAGTTGGTGTTTTGTTATATTACTTTTGTGTTGCTGTCGAGGATTTCACGGCTAATAGTGATCGAGTGTGTTGAGTCCAAATGAGATTTGATAGCACCACTCTGTTTATGCATCGTAAGCCTTCTAGTCAGTGAGGTAGTAGTAATCCCGATATATGAGTCATGTTGACGTGCACAGCCGTCAAAGGGGCAATTAAATTCATATAACATAACTCATCACTCATCTGGAATAATACTATCTGACATATCTGACCATTTCCCTATATTCGCCATTGCTTCCAAATCTGAAAACTCAAACCATGCCCCTGTTAAGCATTTTAGAAACATAACTGAAGAATCTATAAACAACATCAAAAATCTCTTATCCAACCACAACTAAAACTTCTTAACATTTCTGAGCAATGTTAACGACTGCTACTCTGTTTTAAATTCTATCTTAACTCACTCTCTTGACACTTTTGCCCTCCTCCGTCCTGCCAAAAAC